ACACTATGGGGTTTGTGTGTGTGTGTGTGTGTGTGTGTGTGTTTGTTTATATGTCATAAAATGATATTTCTTAGAGAAATATGTATTCAGAAAAGCATATGTGGAAAAATGTTAATGCATAAAAAGATACCTATGAATAATGCATACAAACAAGGTATCCATACTTTACATTTTTTGCATCTTTATTTTACACAGACATTTTATTTTTTTAAAAAAAGAAAGTGTTGCAGAAATTATTTGAAAGGAACTTAAAGCTGGCAAAATAATGACTGCAGGATCCAAAGTTGAGAGATTCCCCTTTTGCTTATTTCGAAACAACACGTGGTTGTTTAGACAACTTTCACCTGTTCAACTGTCCCAGCTTTATGATTTTCCAGCCCATCTTATTTTCAAATGACTCTCCATAATTTAATGAATGTTTTTGAATCATACATTTGCTCACATAATTAAAGCATGTGACATGAGTAATCCACCTTCTCCAATTAATTTTCTCTGTTATTCGCAGCCACCCATAGGGGGATGAACATCATGCCGTTTAGACAAGATTCTCCTTCAATCTTAAAGGTCAATGACAATTATGAACCTGCTTCCAATCCAATGTGGCACAGAGTTAATTGGAAACATAAAATAAGGTTGGGATGAATACAGATAGTTTATAGGTAATATAGACTTGGCAGCACAAGGAAACAATAGCCAATGACTTAATAGCTGCCCATCAGCCCTCCTATTAACAACTAAAAAGCCCCACACAACCAGGCACCACATAAATACTGCATATTGCAATAGCAATAGCATTTCGACTTATATACCACTTCACAGTGCTTTACAGCCCTCTCTTAGCGGTTTACACAGTCAGCATATTGCCCTCAATAATCTGGGTCCTCATTTTACCCACCTCAGAAGGATGGAAGGCTGAGTCAACCGTGAGCCTGGTGAGATTCTGCCAAATTGCAGGCAGATGGCAGTCAGCAGAAGTAGCCTGCAGTACTGCACTCTAATCACTGTGTGATCACGTAGTGGTTAGAGTGGTTAGTAGAATAGCCCAAAGCACACATTCCATTAGAGAGAAGTTCACTGAGGATGGGCTCTAGCACGAGTCTGAAAACTTGGAAGACTAAACCTCTGGTTCTGGTGACTGTCCCAGATTGAATATTTATTTATTTATTTATTTATGTATTTATTTGATTTATATTGCTGCCTATTCGCCCATGGCAACTCAAGGCAGCTTACACAATGTAAAATCACATTTAAAACAAAAAATAAAAATAAAAACAATAAGAATTAACAAAAAGAATTAAATAAATTAGTAAAGTACAATAGAACAAAATTAGAGGGGAAAAAAACAAAACGAAAAACAAAAACCAACTCCCACCCACCCACCCTGATGACAGCGGGTCACACTAGCCACTTGATGGGTTCCATCCCTCTCTGAGTTTCCCAGGCCCACTGGCAAAACCAGGTTTTGGCGTATTTGGGTCTTTTCCCGTGTAAGATTGAGAGTATCTTGTTGACTTTCAACAAGGTCCCACTTGCCATCATCAGGCTGGTGCTTTCGGCTTCATGCTTGTGCGAGGAAAGCATGATTGGAGCTGCCGACAGACCAACAAGAGAATAAGTGCATGCATTGCAGAACCCAAGAACGCAGTCAGAAAAGAAGAAAATACTTCCTCCCTCTTCCAGCACCTTAAAGCCACAGGACATGAAATTAATTTTGTAGGAACAAAATTTTTCTCCAATATTGAATACTTCAACAAGAGAACAATCAGGGAAGCCATCGAAATAGAGAAACACCCCCATAACATGAATAAATAGGACATCTGGAAACTAGCCCTTATCAACAAATGAGTCCCAGCCACAAAAACCAACATCGGACCCAAAACAACACATGACACCACCACCAATCTCCCTCACCAAGACTCAAACCCAAACCCACAAAAGGCAACCACCGTCCAGAAACCAGATCATGGCTGCATCACCAGCTGCCACACCCCCGACCCCGACCCCCAAACTAAGCAAACTGACACATGCCATGAACATATAGCCAGACCTCAAACTCGGAACCAAACCAAAACCCGGAATGTTACAGCACAGCCATAGCTCAGGATATCACATCACAGAATTCAGGAGGTTACACCACAAAACCTCAGGATGTTGCAACACAGCCAATGACCCAGGAGATTACAGCACAAGACCCAGGAAGTCACAACAATAGAACTCAGAAGGTCATCACACAGCCCATTACCCAGGTCGTTACAACACAGGAGGCTGATAGACACACAGCCACTACCTCAGACACACAGGTTCTTACAAAAAAGCCAACCAATCTGCAAACATCAACTCCATCAACCAATCAAGAAATAACAACACAACCAACCAGTCCACTTACAACAGAGCCAGCACACCACACCTACCCACCAGTATTTATAGAGAGACGGCAGCTCCAATCACTTTTGGCTCGCACAAGCATGAAGCCAAAAGCACCAGCCTGAAGATGGCGAGCGGGACCTCATCAAAATGTTGCCAAGATACTCCCAATCTTACATGGGAAAAGACCCGAACATGCCAAAACCTGCATTCCTGTACCGATGAAAAATCTACAAAAACATTGGGTTTTGACTGGTGTTTGCACTCAATGAAACCAATGCATCTGTCAGCTTTAAAATTCAGCTGTCACATTTCATGGAAGGGAGTGGAGGAATTGAAAAGTTCAAGGTTATTCTGTATGTTGTATTAAGAAATTCCAGTTGCACTTAATTGGTTCTCGTGATTTATGAAGTGTAGAAGTAGGAGGAGAGAAGGTGGATTCTGTGTAACGCACAAAAATAATTTCACTTTGGAAAATTGCATTTGACATGCCAGATCTGTTTCTAATTAAATCAATTGGAGAGAAAATGTCTCGGAGTGATTGATATCATGGATACTTTCTGGATGCCTTACAGCAGCATCCTCAATGTCATGTGATCAAAACTTGGGCACTTAGCAACTGACATGTATTTATGACAGTTGCAGCATTCCAGGGTCATGTGATTGTCATTTGTGACTGTTATGTCCTGAGGACTCAAGGAGTTCTCACTCAGGTCCACTCACTTTACGTGGGCGTTATTCCCCCATTCCCATTGGTTGGCTCTCCCCAGCAGCCAGCTATAAAAGCAGGCTGCGGAGTCCAACCGGTTGCTGATTGCTGCGAGCCAGTTCCAGGCTTGGCAAGCACGGTCAGCCCTTTATTGTAAAATAAAGTATTGTTGCACTCATGCTCTGGTTCAGCCTCTCATTGCTCAAACAAAACACTGGCGACGAGGATGGGATGGCTACCAGAAGCACCTTGCAACCGCTGAGTCACTAGCCACCGATCCACAGCCCAGAGAGAGTGATCGGCTGGCGACAAGGGAAACGCTGATCCGCAGCCAGAGAGAGCGGTCAGCTAACGAAACGAGCGATCAAAAAGAGCAAACGCAGATCCGCAGCCAGAGAAAGTGGTCTGAGTCAAATAGTTAGAAGCATCTGTAGCCGCTTGTTAGCCCCGCTACGGGGAAAGTGAAGCGCTGCGAGCCGCAGCCGCTCTGCATTTGGCGCGAAATTCAAACGGGTGTCATTTGAATTTCGAGCCAGTAGGAATCACAGCACAGCGCTGTAGAGAGTCACTAACGCCCACTTTTTTTGGCGCGAATCAAGACACCTCCAACGGCTAGCAGCCAACATGGTAACCCAGAGAGAGAGAAAGAGAGGGTAGCAAAAAAACCTCTCCAGAGCTGATATCACTAGTAACTCACGAGCGCTCGTAGTCCCAGAGAGATTTTTTCCGCAGGTAGCCCAGCCGTTCCAGCACCATGAGTTCCAATCCAGTATTCCTGGCGTTTAAACCAGACGAAGAGAAGTGGGAATCGTATAAGAACCGTTTCAATCATTACATCGATGCGGTTGGCCTGGCGGATGCGGGAGAGCATCGGAAAAAATCCTATTTCCTAATCTACTGCAGAGCCACCATTTACGATACCGCTGCAGCACTCGTGGCGCCGAGAGAATTGAAAAACGTTCCGTGGTCCGAGTTGCTTGGGATCCTCACAAACCACTATGCTCCCAGGCCTTCACAAATCGCCAGGAGGTTCACGTTCCGAATGAGGAAGCAATCAAGTAAGGAGACCATCAACCAATATATGGCCGCCCTCAGAACAGCAGCCCTGCACTGCGGGTTTGGAACATACCTGGAGGACATGCTCCTCGATCAATTAGTTTGTGGGGTCAAGGATCTCAACCTACAGAGGCGACTGCTAGCTAAAAAAGACCTCAACCTCGCGCAAGCGGTAGAGGAGGCCCTAGCAGCCGAGCTAGCAACGAACTCAGCCACCGAAATTCAGGGCCCAAGCGCCAAGCTAGCATCGTTCCCAGTCCATTCCGAAGAGGTGGAAGCGGAGGAAGCCCACAACGATGAGAACGATGTCCATCGCCTCACCAATGACAGACGGTCGCAGGTAGGGGCCAAACAAGAATACACCGGTCCACCCAAGCACATCACTCTGTGCCTAGCCTGTGGGGGATCACATCAAAGGGCCACCTGCAAGTTTAAAGGAGCCGTTTGCAACAACTGCCATAAGAGGGGGCACATTGCGAGAGTCTGCCAAGCCCCCCAAAGCGCTGCACACAGACCCCCGTCCTCGCACTCGTGACCTCAGAGGCAAGTATTAAACTGTCGCACGCACCGCCTTGCCAGGCGTACTTGCCACACTGTTAGTAAAATTTCTCTCTCCGTTTCCCTAGAAGGTAAACCGTGCCACATGGAGGTTGACACAGGGTCAGCGCTCTCAATAATCTCGTGGAACACCCTCAAGAGACTCCACCCCAGCCTATCTACTACCCGGCTTCAGAGATGCCAGTTCGGTCTGAAGGACTACCAGGGGAAGGCCATTCCCGTGATCGGCAGAGGCAAGTTCTTTGTCAGTTTTAGAGCTTTTAAAGGCCACCTACCTCTAGTGGTAGTTAACAGCAATCTACCCACCTTATTGGGGCTCGATTGGTTTCCCCACCTCGGCCTAGGGTTAACAGGAGTCCATGCTGTCTCAACCTCAGACACTGACTCCTTATTCGCTGACTACGCAGATGTGTTCAGTGAGGAGCTGGGGTGTTATAATGGAACCCCCATCTCGTTCACCGTTGACCCCCAGGCAGTCCCAATCAGATTAAAACCACGTAGAGTTCCATTTGCTATTCGACCAAAACTAGACGCTGAATTGGATAAGCTACTAAAACAAGGGGTCATTGAGCCAACAGATTTCGCCAAGTGGGAGACGCCCATTGTCACACCCCTCAAAAAAGATGGTAGCCTGAGAATTTGCTCGGACTACAAGACAACAATCAATAAATATTTACAAGTTAGCGCCTACCCTGTGCCCGTCATTCAGCACTTATTGCACACATTCGAACCGGGCAGTATTTTTGCTAAATTGGACATGTCTCAAGCATATCAACAGTTCCCTGTTGATAACCAAACAGCGGAACTTCAGACCATCGTCACTCACAGGGGTGCCTTCCGATGCAAGCGTCTCCAATTTAGCGTAAGTGTTGCCCCGGGTATTTTTCAGTCCCTCATGGAGCGGATTTTACAGGGCCTCCCTGGTGTAGTACCCTACTTCGACGACATCTTGGTCTCGGCCAGGGACAGACCCCAACTCTTCCAGAGAGTGCGAGCAGTGGTTAGAGAGGTTCAGACAGCATGCCTCAGGTTAAAAAAAAAGAAAAATGTGCCATTGCCACTAGACAGGTGGACTTTCTGGGTTATAAAATTGACGCCTCTGGCATTCACCCCCTGGAGTCCAAGGTTAGGGCGATCCACGAAGCTCCCACACCGACCTCCAAAACGGAGCTACAAGCTTTCTTGGGGCTCCTAAACTTTTATGCATCCTTCTTGCCCCATAAAGCCTCAGTAGCCGAACCCCTACACAGATTACTAGACAAAAAGTCACCGTGGCACTGGGGGCACAAAGAAGACCAGGCGTTTAACGCCGTCAAATCACTACTTACGTCAGAGGCAGTGCTCATCCAATTCGACCCCAACCTTCCTTTAGTACTGGCAGCAGACGCATCCCCTTTTGGAATTGGGGCGGTCCTTAGTCACCGACTCGCCAATGGCGCCGAGGCCCCCATCGCCTTTTTCTCCAGGACGCTCTCGGCCATGGAGCGAAATTACAGCCAAATAGACAAGGAAGCCCTAGCAGCTGTTGCAGCCGTGAAAAAGTTTCACGAATTCCTTTTTGGCCATTTCTTCGAACTGGTCACCGACCATAAGCCCCTCCTGGGCCTACTGGCCGGCGACAAACAGACACCTCAAGTCCTTTCCCCTAGAATGACAAGGTGGACACTTTTCCTAGCGGCCTATTCATACAAACTTATTCACCGCCCGGGCAAAACTCTATCCCACGCCGACGCTCTCAGTCGCTGCCCCTTACCCGCTCCGGCTGAAGACCCAGCTCCTGTCAACGCCATTTTTGAAATCACCCAGTTGGACCTGCCCATCACCGCCCTTGACATCGCCGCCAAAACCAAGGCAGACCAAACGCTCGCCCAGGTGCTCGACTGGGTGAGGAGGGGGTGGCCGGGAGGCAACGTCGATAACAAATTCGCACCCTTTAAGACTCGCATGCAGGAGCTGTCCAGTTTGCAGGGTTGTCTACTGTGGGGCACTCGAGTGATCATTCCGACCTCGCTGCGTACCCGAGTCCTGGAGGCGTTGCACGAGGGACACCCCGGCATTGTGAGAATGAAGGCGTTAGCACGCAGCTACGTGTGGTGGCCGGGTCTAGATGAGGACATTGTCAATTGGGTAAGTTCCTGCAGCATTTGCCAGGAATCCCGTCCTGCTCCCCCCATTGCCACCCCTACCAGATGGGAGAGCGCCAACGCCCCTTGGTCTAGAATCCATATCGATCTGGCAGGCCCCGTGCATGGAAAGATGTTCCTAGTGGTCGTGGACGCTTATTCCAAATGGATAGACGTGGCGCAGCTATCCACGACCACCACACTAGCAATCACCAATGTGTTAACGCGCCTGTTCGTTACACATGGACTACCCGACTCCATTGTCTCCGATAATGGCCCACAGTTCGCATCAGTAGAATTCAGCCGTTTTGCTGCCAACCTGGGCATTCGCCACATTTTCACAGCCCCATTTCACCCTGCCAGTAATGGGTTGGCTGAAAGGGCCGTCAGGACCACCAAAGAGGCCCTCGCTAGGTTTGGCAGGGATGACTGGCACCACAAACTCGCACGGTTCCTGATGAGCCAACACTCAACCCCCTGTGCAGTCACCAATAAGTCCCCAGCGGAACTTCTGATGGGCCGGCGCCTGAGGACTGTATTGGACAGATTGCACCCACAATACTGCCCTGACTCTCCCCTCGCTTCTACGTCGGGGGTTAGACATTTCTTGTTACAGGAACCGATATTCGCAAGGAATTTCGCCGGGGACCCACTTTGGATTCCAGGCGAGGTCATCGCCATCACCGGGCCGAGATCGTATAGAGTCAGGCTGGAGGATGGTCGCGTCTGGAGGAGACATATAGACCAGCTTAGAAGGCGCCTCAGCACCCTTGCCAACAAGAGTCCAGAGTCTCCAGTCGAAGGGGAACCGCCTCATCCGCCGCCCAGCCACATCGTACCCAGCGACCAGTCTGCACCAGCGGTCGTTCCGGTCAGCCCAAACTCGGACAACAGCGCCCAGAGAGTTGACCAGCCTGATCCAACCCACGAGAGCTCGACCCCAGTAACCAACCCGGTGTTTCCCGAGGATGCCCAGTCCAGAGAGAGTGTTGGCGACACTATGCCGGCTCGACCATCACAGACTGGTACCGAACTGACAGACAATGTTCCCGAGTTGCGCCGTTCCGGGCGCCAACACAAACCCCCCGTCTACCTCAAGGACTATGCATGTTCGCATCTGGGGGGAAGGGGTGTTATGTCCTGAGGACTCAAGGAGTTCTCACTCAGGTCCACTCACTTTACGTGGGCGTTATTCCCCCATTCCCATTGGTTGGCTCTCCCCAGCAGCCAGCTATAAAAGCAGGCTGTGGAGTCCAACCGGTTGCTGATTGCTGCGAGCCAGTTCCAGGCTTGGCAAGCACGGTCAGCCCTTTATTGTAAAATAAAGTATTGTTGCACTCATGCTCTGGTTCAGCCTCTCATTGCTCAAACAAAACAGTGACCTTCCCAGCTGCTTTTCAATAAATAAAGTGAAGCCCCATTCATTTAATGGCCACATAACCACTGAACAACTGCTGTTATTCACTTAACAACTATGGCAAAAAAGATTTGTAAAATCAGCTGCAACTCATTTAACAGCTGCTTTCCCTAACAAAGGAAATTCTAATCTCAGTTATGGTTGTAAGTTGAGGACTACCTGAACTTTTCTTTTCAGACTGCTCCCCTTTCTTGGCTCTTCCCAACAAGTAATTGTGATTATAAAATGAAACATTTTAGGGGCAAGAGCCTCCATCTTTTAGAGAATGTAACATGTGTATCTGTAAAAATATAACTATAATGATTCTACCTAAAAGAATTTTGCTAAATTTATTGTTTTGCAATTTTTCCTTAAATGAGCTTCTGCTCATTATATTTCTACCTCTAGTCCCCAACAACAGAGTAATTTTTTTAAAAAAATAGAAGATCTTTTTGGCACAGCAGGAGCCCCCTTTTCAGTCCTTTGAAGAATTTATAAAAAATGAGAAGAGAATCAAATAAAATAAAAAAGAGAAAATCTCCCGAAGAATTGTAAAGATTGAAACTGGGCTTTTTTTTTAAAGTCTTAGTTGAATTCCTAAAATAGTATCCTCCAGCCTGATTCTCTCCTAATATATCCTAAGAACTTGAGTTTATTAGGTTACTTGAGCAGGGATGAAATGTTATATTGCTGTAATCCTATTTATAATCTTGAAGTCAATTCATCATATTTATTTAATTGGTTAGGTTCTCTTAGATAAATGATAGATTTGTGTTTGTATATGAATCTGCTGTTCTCCTGTACCTGGGAAAGATAAATTGTCCTAATGGATAATTTAGGAAGCAATTCAAAATAGTAAGGAACAGACATGACGTTGGCTTGTTTGTTCCAATATTGTTTCAAGTTGATTGTGAAGGAGAGTTAACATTTCATCTATGTATTTGCTTAAAACACAAGGCCATAACAGTACAGAAAGCACTTGGATTTTATCACTAACAGTATTTTCTCTGTGCATCCATGTGAACTTTATTCTATAATTTAATAAAAGTGCTAGAACATTTGCCCACGAAGAGCTATTCGCTAATATGAGAGAATTCTTCATAATACAGCTGACATTTCAGCTCACCTGTTTCTATTAAGAAAAATGCATTTCCCTTTCATGTTATTGAAATTATTGATTGTGGAATGGTGTATTATTATAAATTTATACAACATGTATAATCCTCTTGTTGTGCCTTAACTCTCCATTATGAAACAGAGTTTGGATATTTCAGCAAATGCTTGCATCAGAAGAAAAAAAAACATTCAGTATGGGAAAAAGATCTTTATTTCTTCTTCCTTTACTTTGACTCCTCAAAAAATTTTAATCCAAGATTTTTTTCCCCTAAGAACTTTCTTTAAATTGGAAAATAACAACCCAGACCCGGTCAGCAAGAGAAAGAAAGGATACTAATCTTTCACTGGGATGTTTGTAGTTATATTAGATCTTTTGATAAGTCCAGAGTTGCAGAACAGTTCTGCTTTAAGAAGGATTCTATTAAATGTAAACACTGGGATAATTTGATTCTTCTAGCATAAAAAGATACATATCCTGAACTCATCTTTCATTTTGTCTTCAGTTCCACATCAAATTATGACTATTGAGTTGTGCTTTATGAATTTGGCAGTTCAAATCTCACCAAGGTCAAGGTTGACTCAACCGTCCATCCTTCTGAGGTCGGTCAAATGAGGACCCAGATTGTTGGGGGCAATACCAGTTCTGTAAACCGCTTAGAGAGGGCTATGAAGCACTGTAAAGCAGTATATAAGTCTAAGTGGTATTGCTATTATACTTCATATTCTAGATGGTGATGGCTTTGCAACTTATATAGAAGCGGTTTCCTGGTTGCTATCAGATCAGGTAGCAATTGCTACTTTTTTATTTGATTGTTTGTTTTGTATCTCACGTTTATTATTTTTAAAATAGCTCAGGAAAACACATCCAGCACACCTTCCTTCTCTTATTTTCCCCACAACAATGACCCTATGAGGTGAGTTGGGTTCAGACAGAGTGACTGGTCCAGCTGGCTTTCATGCCTAAGGGAGGGGGGCATCTAGAACTCATAGTCTCTTGGTGATTGGCTCAAAGTCACCCAGCTGACTTTCATGACTAAGGGGTCATGAAAGGGCTAGAACTCATGGCGTGCTGTTTATAAGCCTTGTGCCTTAACCAATAAACCACCTGGCTCTCCTATCAGCCACCTGGTTGCAATTCCCAGAAATGATGATAAGAAATTATTTATTTTTGTCAGGATCTTGGAAAATCTTTGCTTTCAGGATAATATGTAATGCATCACCTGCTATTTATTCTGTTATACTTTAGAAACTATTATCTTTAGTCTGCATGGTAAACATCTTTGCTGTACCATATTTACATTTAGTTATGCTATTCCATGCCTTAGAGTACAATTCCATTTCAAAGATGCATTGTTTTAAGGGAGTTAGGCTGACAGTTTCAGTTACCTCTGCCAGAAGAAATCTCCCAACTGACCCCAGAGATTTTCCAACAGAGAGATCTGCCCAAACCCCCCCCCCCTACTTTGGTGGTCAAATAAACAGGCAGATGAACCAGAGAAGGGGGGAAAGAGAACCAAGTTATGCCACACTGAAGTATTTTTTCTGATTAGTCTACACTGCCAGCACTATTAAAACTGAGCTAAGGGAATTTCTAATTAAAATCCAACATCTTAATTTTAATGAGACTCCATCTCATTTTCCTTTTTGGTTGCACTAATACTTTGATGAATTAAGTTAGATTATATGTAATTTCCAGCAGCCTCTTGTCAAGTCAACTAGGCCTGAGACTTTAATAACTTTTTGAATGGCTCAGAAGCTGAAGGAGAAACAGGATGCCCATCTTTCTAGATACTCAATATAATCGGTTGGTTCAGATGTTCTATCAAGACATAATACATTTGGCTGCAGCTTTCAATGTTGAATGAAAACTCTGCTTTTGTAATTGGTAAACCATGGCTTATAGTTTAATGCAAATGTGGGCATAAGCCACAGGAAAGCATGTTACTATCTCCAGAATCCTCTCTGAACTTTACTTCTGAAATTTAGCAATTTGAAATGGGATACTCAGTGTAAAAGGTTTTGTTACTGTAACCTTAGAACAAACTAAAGAGAAGGATGAAGGGTGATATGATAGCAGTCTTCCAATATTTAACAGAGCTGGCTGTCACAGAGAGGAAGAGGTCAACCTATTCTCTAAAGCACAGATGTCAAACTCATGGCATCACGTTGTTGTCATGTGACATTTTACAATGTTTTTTTTCCTTGTGTGGAGCTGGGTTGGGCATGGCCTGTGCAGATGCATCTGGCCCGTGGGCCACCAATTTGCTCTAAAGCACCTAGGGGTGGTGTATCATTAAAGATATAAAAAAAAATTCCTGACAGTAAGAACACTGAACCAGTGGATTGACTTGTCTCCAGAAGTTGTGGGTTCTCCATCACTGAAGGTTTTAAAGAAGAAATTGGATAGACATTTATCCAGATTGGTATAGAAACGTGATGGCGAACCTATGGCACGCATGCCACAGGTGGCACACAGATCCATTTGTGTGGGCACCCAAGCCCCAGGTAAACTTACCTCACTGAACATGCACCTCCCAGCTGATTTTTGGGTCTTTTTCAGCCTGCCAGAGGCTTGAGGGATGCCTCTGCAGGCTTTGTAGGCCAAAAAATACGCCCATTTCATCACTTCCTGTATTTCTGGAAATACTAGAAGTGACGAAACGGGCCCATTTTTCAGCCTGCAAACCCTGCAGAGGCATCCCTCAAGCCTCTGGCAGGCTGAAAAAGGCATCAAATGGGCCAAAAATCAGCTGGGAGGTGCAGTGCAGGTAAGGGGGCAGAGGAGGGGAAATTGCATGTGCATGCACAGAAGGCATGGGGGGGCTGCATGCATTGCCTTCTGGGTGCTGGCACGCGAGCATGCAAGCACTTGCATGTGCACAATTTTTGGCACAAGAGCCCAAAAAGGTTAGCCACCACTGGTATAGAGTCTCCTACTTGAGTAGAGGGTTGGTCTAGAAGACTACCAAATTCCCTTCCAATACAATACCTTGCAATGTTCTAATCAAAAAACAAAACAAAGGATAATCCTCAAACTCAGGAAGCCGCTCAAATCCAGGAAAAACAAAACCCAGTGCTACCACTTCGGGTCTATCCTATCATTTTGGCCTTTGCCTATCTTTCCAAAATGTTCTCTTCTTGATTTATATATGATTCTTCTTCTTCTAGTTTTAGCTTAATGTATACTTGAGGCTGCT